TCTTCAGCATTCATATATTCCATAAAAGCAAGTATTTTGCCTTTGTCTATATCGGTTAACTGGGTTCGAGCGGGTGGTATATTTTACATAACAATAATTATTGTATAATGTAGGCGAAAGTTATAAAAACAAAAACAAAAAAAAGAGGAGAAAAACACGTTTAAATTTCGGTGTATCGTAACACATGCAAACGTTACTTTTGCGGCGACGGTACATATAAATCAAATTTATAATAAAAATCATTATATACAAATTTTAAAAACTTATAAATTTTCAAGGAAAAAGATATTATTCTTAAATAAGTATAAAGAGTATATTTTAATTGTATGTTGAGTTTTTTTATTGAAATATTCCCATACAGAACTTTCTGAAGATGAAGTAGAAGCAATTACTTGAAAAATTTGATCAACGGATTCCTTAGGATTAATATCTTTATATGTATTATTAGAATATAAATTTTCAAGTTGGTTAAAATATAAATTCTCAACTTCACCAAAATCTAAATTCTTGAAATCAAAAATGTCTTTAGAAACAAATGAGATGGTACAATGGTTTGAAAATAAATTCACGAAAGAATTTGATGAAAATTATTAAATGACAATGCAATTCATACTTCATTTCTCTTTTCACCATAATTATGGTCTGTTTATGACTCAATGGAACTGGAATTCCTTTGACACAAAATATTGTTCAAGCTTGACATCATTATTAGTGGGTAAAGCACTTATACCATTATTGAATAATTTCAGAAATAACAACCGAAAGTTAATTTTCAAATTGAAAATATTCATGGTGAAAAATGTCAAAGTGCAAAAAAATAATTGATGGAGAAGAAAGAATTGAATGTTGTTAATGATCGAGCAAACTGTTCAATAATGAATTTTCTTCGAATGATTGTGTATAATCTTATTTTCATTTTTTATTACAAATTTATGTAGTATTTTAATAAAATAGTTATCGCACTACGTACGTATATGAGCATTGACAATTAATTAACGCGCTATTTTTGTATATATCGATATGCATATCGATATCAACATGTAACGTTAACACAAAAGTCGATCAGTGACCAATACACTTTAAATGTCGTGATTTTGAACCAGTGTCAGAATTTTGAATTTTCAGGATTTTGAACTGTCGGGATGTTAGTGTTCGGGATATTGAGCATTCAGGATGTTGAGTGTTCAGGACGTAGGCTTTTCGGGATGATGATTTTCGGGAAGTTGGGATTTCGGGAAGTTGGATATTCGGGAAGTTGGAGTTTTGGGATGTTGAACTTTCAGGATATTGGACTTTTGGAATGTTAAATGTTCAGGATTTCGTTTGTCGGGCATATCAGCTGTCGGGATTGTGGTTTTCAGGATGTCGAACTGGATCCATATAATTAGCTCCCCATAGGAGCACTCACTTTAGTGAGCTGTGGCGCAGAATACTGTGACTTATTTACATTTTATTAAAAAACGTAATTGGGTTCACATAAATCACATTATTCTAAGACAATTTATAGTTATTTCGCATTCGAGAAATTATAGCGTCTTTTGTGTAGTGCTAAAACAGTATTCGATTCTCCACAAAATTACAGATAATACTATTACATATCATGAGGAATCTAATACAAAAAATAAATGATATACCACAGCTCGATGTTACCGAGCGATACTATGTCACTTTGGCTGCTATGTCTTACAAATTCGATTGACTTAGTATATTGTATGATGGTTGCCTATGCCCATGTGTATAGTGCCCACATGAATAATTTATAGGCGCAATTGCATTTTTTTTAGATGTGGTTTCTGCCGTACTCTAGAGAGTATACATCGAAGATGCGTATGGCAGATGCCTCCAATAATTTAAGACTTAATACCGTAACTTACAAAGCAAAGATAGCATCTACAAATGATTAAAGATTATATTACTATATAAGCTATAGCTTGAATGCATAAACTCAGCATTAGCACTAGACAAATACACATTGTTCCAAAAGCGAGCACATAACGATAATACGTAGTGTTCATGCACTAGGCATAACGAATCAATAAAAACTTGCAGGCTATAACTTTCTCTCGCAATCATTTGCTTCTTTGTCTCTCTTACGGTCTTGTTTCTCTCGCAGTCTTTGTATTCGATTCTTGCCATGTGAAAAACAAAAATCCGGTCAGCAGGTATTTTAATTGTCAATTTCTCAGCTAGTCAGTTTCACCAATTCTTTTGCAAATTCTTTTTTTACTATTCATTTACAAGCAACTTATCAGCTAACATATCGATATACATAATTAACTTCTCTTTTAACTTGGTTTGGGTGATATTTTCGACAGCGCATAACGATAATAATCTAATAAACCTTAAATATATAAAGTCATGTTCTTGTTCACATTAATTTGTTCATATTTAATTTTCTTTATTTTAAGCGGAACACTTTAATGCTCTTAAAAGTGCTTTTTCTTGATCTTTCTGTAAATTGGACCATAATCGATAATCTATTCAATGCACCGACGTTTAACTATGCCACTTTTAGTGCGCTCAAAAAAAACAATCGCTCGTTAATATATGTTTTTGGTGGATTAATTGTGAGTATAAGTATACGACGAATACTTTGCAATTAATTTATAAAATACAACGAACAGCCGACTAATGAAAGTGATTGGAATAAAGGGACTTATGTAAACAGTTTTTATCAAATTGATGTAACGTCTTATACAATTTCAATTTCGTCTGTTACATCTGGTGGTGCTTTACCAGCCAGACACATCTCTGTTAGTTCGTTTTTGATGACAAAGGAAAACTTTACATCTGGGTTGAAAACTGTCAATGAAACTACAGATCAGACTATGTACATATATGACACATTTGACTCAACATGGGACCGAGCTCCTTCATATTTCCCTACGCAAAGATCAGGTTAGTCAGCGACTTTTAAGGATGGCAAATTTTATTTTATCGGTGGCTTTTTTGCAGAATACACATATGTTCTGTGTCGATATTCACGAGGTATTGCATGTATTGTATCCAATAATTATATAACACTCGATACAAATAATAATCTGGACTATACAAGTACGTAAGTGTGCTTTGTAAATAAATTCGATTTGCAATTGTTTGAATAATAATCTATTAATTATAAGAAAGTAACAAGTAATACATATATAAGTAGCCGCTATTTTCACTCAGCCGTTCTATGCCATTAAGGATTCCATGAAATTCATGAAATGAGGGGAGTTCTGTTTCTTGAAATTTTTTAGTAACAAGAATGTTTCAATGATTATATGAATTACTCTAATAAATTATATCTGTATACAGCACCCAGTAATCAAAGCATCATCATACGTACATGGTAGCTCATTATCGAATTATTCAGTCATTCAAGCATGTATTACCGTAGGCTGGGTTTAGGACATCAATAACATTAACAGTAAGTCCACAAGCATTAACTGGTATGTGTACAGGTAATTCTATCGGAATAGGTGCTGCGGAAACAATGGATAAAAAGAGGATGACAATCAAAAATGCAGGAAACCAATTGATGTATTGGAAATTCATTTTTTTTGCGTGATATTTCGAAAATTTTCTTAGCGTTAGCAAGTTTAAAAGAGCGCCTATTTATAAAAAAAGAGATGAAGTATTATTGTTAGTATCGATTGAAAATATTGATATCGACATGTATGCATGGAGTCAGTAGAAAGGGACCAATCTATTAGAGTAATTTGTCACTTTTCTACTGACAACCCCATATTACTAAATTCTTGAATTACATTTGCCTAAATAATTTAAGTTAAATCCTTAATACTGATATTTGTCTAAATTATTGCTTACTTGAAATAATTTTAAATATATATCCTTTTTATTAAAATTTGCAAAAATGACATCTAATACAAGTGCAATTCCAACATTGATATTTATATAACAAGAAAAGCGCACTCTGAAGATTCATATAATACAGAAATATGCATACGTGGAATTAACTACATTTAGCTACTGAATGTGAACTACATATCGACGTATCGGCAACTCTATACTGATGCAGTTTTGAAGATGCAACAAACGATAACGATAACGTTAATCTCGAAAATGTTTTTTAATCAATTTAATAAAAAATCAATTATCGTTATTAAATTATTATTAATAAATTACATGTATTATTATTTGAAGTATGATAAAAAATATCAACACTAACATCTATAATTTGTAGAACTCTATATCAATATAACTAATTGAATTCTATACTACATTTTTCATTGATGCAGTTATATTAGCTTTTATTAATTTTTGTAGTTATGTTATGCAGACGAAATGACCATTGAATAAGCTATTTTTAATATCGAACAATCATTTACAGTTCTGCTATTATTGTACAATCAACACTCCTTAAATGCAGCCTCTATAAATGCATGCACTATATGTATTCTCTCTAAATGCACGCTCTTGTTCAGCCACAAGCTTATAAGACCTTTAAATATACTTTAGTCATATGATCCTGGCGAATTGCATTGGGAGAGTTGATTATATGCTAATAAAAACCTGCATAAAATAACAATCAGAATTTGGGAGATAACGATAAGAAATTATCATAGTTAACATCGAGATCATTCACCGGACGTATTTTACTATGTACGTACATGTAATGGTTGATTAAAATTATCACGTGATTGTTTTCATTTTTGATTGGTCAGTGCTCGTCACCAGGAATGACTATAAACGATTAGAAAACATCTAGAAAATTTGCAATTACTCCTTTCTACCTGCGCGTTTATGCCATGTTTTTCCGTTATTCTTGCAATAAACACATCAAGGATATATGTTTTTCCAAGCAGCAGACATTTTTTTCAAGTTCTGATTCGCTACAATAATAACAAACATCATATCGTTTACAAAAAGCTTCAGATAATATCAGATTTGGTGTTTTACTTTCTCGAAGAACTGTTACAAATAGAAATATCATTGTAGCTTTGGAACCCAATTTAAAGTTGATCTTGACTAGTAAAACATAAATGGCATTTTGTTTTTTCTTCTTAAATCCTATAAAAATCACTATTCTGACTTAAATTGCTGTGCTAGAATTCTAAATTTCAAGTGGATAAAAATTACATGTGATATTTAATACTGTTTAACGTTCATGGGAAGTTGGGGGACGTTAAACAATCAATTAATTTCAACCAGCCTAAAGAGGATAGAACAAAACATAATATTCCAATTTCCAAATCACAATAATCATTAATAAATTAAAAAATAGGGTCACTAATTTGAAATTACAATATCAGTCGAGTTTAATTTTTAGGCTATATTCGAGTGCAAAAAACTTATGGAAATATATCAACAAATTGTTTAGTTTAATAATATTACATAAATAATTAAATTAATTAATAAATAATTAAATTAATTAATAAAAATGTTTCTTTAGCACTAATCGATTATATACAATCTACATGTATTGTCCACCCAATGGGTCCCACGTAAGGACCTCGGCCCATTGGTTAGATATAGTAAATTATTATAAATTGTAAGTCAAATCAGCTAATATGCAAAGAATGAAAGGTGAAATTTCGGACAATTGACTAAATTTATAATTAGTATTAATGATCGATCACACAATTTATGGTTCATACATTACGTAATATTTACAGAAGAATTTTATTGCCATGACACAGACTAGATACGTATCTTGCACCAATACATGTAGATAATATTGAAAGTTATTTGAAAGTTTTTTTCTACTGAATCAATGAACACGAAAAAAAGTCATTTGCACTAGAAAATATTTGTTGAATGTTTTTAGGCTTCACTGTAATTTCAAATTTCAATGTTGATTTCATACACAGAATAAATCTAAAATTTATTAATCAAATATAGTAAAAATTGAAGATTTCTAGATTGTAGTTTTTATTAATAAAAAATCTATATTTCAACTAACATACAGTGGCAATCAAAAGAAATGCAACAGCATCAAAATTTATTAATAAAACTTAATAGAATGTGGGTTTTTCTTCTATGAAAACTTTCAATTTTATTAATCAATATTTTTATTTTTATACAAAAATACAAATAATAATCCATATATTTTTTCAGATTTTTTTAGAAAGATTTTCTAATTGCAAAGTAAGTTGATTAATTTTTTATAATTAAACTTACTTGCAATTAGAAAAACTTTCTGAAAAAATCTGAAAAAATATATGGATTATTTTGCATAGAAATATTGAAAACTTTAATATAGGAAGAAAAACCCGCATTCTATTATACTTTATTAATAAACTTTGACGTTGTTGCATTTCTTTGATCGCCACTGTATACGTCTCTTGCAAAGTGATTGTAAAAATTTTTTTATAATATAATTAGAAAATTAAATCTAAAAACATATACAGTCAAACCTCGATATAACAAAGCATTAATAAAACCAAAGTTTGTTTCAGAAACGGCACAGTGACTGGTGTATGTATCGGTATTATTGTGAAAATGATCTCTTTCTAGATGAATATCAGTATCGCGAAATTAAGAGAATTTTCATAAAATTATAAGCATTGAAACACATTTGAATCGAAGCTTATTTATTCTTTGACTGAAAAAAAACTAATTCTGCATTGTTTTGAGTTATTTACGGTCTTTTATCAATTAATATAGACTGGCAAATACATATATCCTAAATACTCAGGTAAGTTTTAACTTTTAACGTGTATTGCTCAAGAACTAAGCGTTGACACAATAGAAAGTAAAAAGTAACGCGAAAGTCTTAAAACTGCATTTTTACGCTCAAAGCCAAATAAATCCTCTGCAAGGCAGAAATTATACCTTATGATTGGTAATTTGCCGCCATGTCTAGACGCGGTCTTAATTCATGATTTTGAGCTTTTGTGGTGCATATCATCAAACGTTTGTATCTTATAAAAGGATAAACTTCTTTACTAAAAAGTAAATATAAAATTTAACCTGTGAATATGTTCAGAAAAGGGCCTATTATATAATATTCACGGATTAAATTTTGTATTTGCTTCTTAGTAAAGCAGTTTATCCATTTTATAAAATACAAACGTTTGATGACTTTAGATGTTATGCACCATATGAGTTTAGCAAGGGTCGTAATATTCTAGGTGTAATATAGATTATTTATTTAAGAAAGCAACAGAATCATTAAAAAAATTATTTCTCTTTCTTCACTTTTTCTGAACCAAGAAATGGCCTTATGCAAGTTATTATTTACTGTGTAATATCTTTGAAAATACATATAAACAAGAAATACCAAGCACCAAGACATCATGTTTCGATATAACTAAAAGCAATCAAGTACTGTTGCATCGCAGTTTTCCGTTTGACTCTTGATCGCTGAGAGTAGCTTCACTTTTATGTGGTCATTTGGACTCCTCGTTTCGAGAAATTTTTTTATTGCAAAGCCTCAGACTTCTTTCGAAGAGAAACTCGTCTACGAAGATTCGTAATTTGGAAAAGGCTTATTGTTATCATTAATTTGTAATTATGCCGAATGATTTGATAGGTGTGTTAATAATAGTTTTTTCGATTCTGTCAAAATTGCAACATTTCTCTCGTACACGCGTGTAAATGAATTTTTCCCCGCTCATGCCAGAAATACCATCACCATTACCTCCATAGTCATCGCCAAACATCTAACGCTAAATGAAATTACAAATTCCTGTAATACAAAAAACGGTTAAAATAGCTTAACGTTCCATGTTGCTTTTTGATTGGTTTGCGATCGATTTAAGGTTGTTACAATGTTTGGTTTACAATGATTGGATTTGAAATAGCAGAAAAACGTGGCTCTAAATTTCTAATTTTAAATCTTTTATCATTAGTGTTAGTCATCCCCTGTACTTTTTGGTAATGGCATGCCTCAAAAGATTAAATTAAAATCATGTAAACAGTTGCACCATTATCGTCTTTAAATAACGATAAAAGCTAAAAAGTAATACGAGAATAACGATAGCGGCAGAAAAATATGGATCTATTAATGAATTTGGTTATTTGAAAGTACGTATCAGTATCTAAAATTAATAAAAATAATGACTCATTAAAAAAAACTAGTTTAGCACATACGTATAGATAATAAAAAAGGCAAAAACCAAAACGATAACATACAAGTATAAAACGTACAGGATTCTTCTCATAGAAAACACCACAACAAATAATGATAATAATAATTTGACACAGCCTCCGATCACAATATTTCTATTTTTAAAATGATTCGAAGTTGCCAGTTTATCCATATGGCCATGCTTTTCTTTTTGACAAAGTAATATACATGTAATTAAAAAAAACATTGATTATCAATTATTAATAAATAGTTGCGCTACGTTCTGCTAATTTATTTGTGGTAGATCAAAACAGTAAACAACACTAATTTACTTCTCTATTGATTAAGAGTAATAACAGCAAGACAATTTCAACGAAAAGTTCTTTTGTGTCTTGGATTATCGTTATATGATGTCATCTTTCACGAGAAAATAAACTTTACTATTTATGCAGTACATACTGCAACCAACGAAAAGTTGGATGCAGGTCAAATCTTCAGAAAGTAAGGGGACAGCAATGGGATCTAAACTTGGTTACACGTTTTCTAATTTCCAAACTCGTGCTTTTGACACGAACCGAAAAAAAAAGCCCCAAATAATAACACGCGCGCCACTCGGTAAACTTATCGTAGATGCAACAGTGCACATGTACCTTAACGCTTCCCACGCATAAACTTTTAATTAATTCGATTGTTTGTTTTATTCTTTTGGAATTCAACAGATAATGTTTTTTTTTTTATAGATGGGTGGGAATATTTAAATTATCTGGTGCAGAAATCTCTTACTTTCTGTTGTTATTTGTTTATCGCAAAACAAAAACATCCTTATATGGAAATAGAACAAGGATGAGAAATAAATTAATGGACTGATGCAAAATTTAAACCATTTTACATTATACAAAATGAACCATTCATAGAAATAATTAATATACACCCGTTTCGCTGTTGCTGCGTATTAACAGCGAATGCCACGCGAAAAAAAAAAACATGTCTCATTCCTGTTTGACTCGCTGCAATCTTATCTACTAAGCAATATAACGATAACAGTAAATGTTTTTTCATACCCCTTGATGGGAGATACGTAAATCAAATAATTAATTGGAAGAGACGGCATTTTTCGATGGAAAAATTGGTTAACATTAATTTAATTGCTGATACGAGTGCCACACAAATGTACGAATCACACACACACATTATTATTTATAAACAAATCACAAAAAACAGGGAAAATCCGGTACCTTTCCGTTTTTTCCATTGACAATAATCCATAATAATAGTAACGGTAATAATTATAATAGTGGAAAATAAAATAAAACACAAAAAACTCTTGTTACTATAAGAATTTACAATTTGGATTTACTTGCACCATACATTTACCTTTTCATACATCTTGTCAAACACACATACAAATAATCGGGCAACACGTTACAAGAAACAACAAATAAGGCTGACCGATAACGTATAATGAGAGATAACAACAATACTGTAAATTGTATAAAAACGAATCACACATACTGCATAAACATATAAAAGACCCCCCAACCCCTTAGCAAATTTTTTTCTATCGATTTTTTATTTTTTTTATGATCCAATTTTTTTTACCTGCGCTCGTTAAAATCTTTTTTGCACGCACTCTTTAAAATCTTTTTTGCAATAGTTAAAAAATTATTTACTAAAAGTGACAGTTTTATTAGTAAAGTTAATGTACCCATAATAATACTCTTAAAAGATATCAAAAAAACCAAAATTTATTATTAACGCATCACCTAACGTGTACAAAAACTAAAAATGCATTCAACTCCATCACGACCAATCTCCACATCCTCCTCATCCTCGACATCAACCCATGTAACCTTTGCTAATGAAGTAACTGACGACGTCCACGCTCTCTACATTACCGAAATCTATCCGGAAGCATATATTCCTTGTAACTCGGCCAGTTCTTCTGCATTCAACTCTGCCAACTCTAGTCCATTCGGCAGTCCGTTATTACTCCCACGACAAACGTCAACTTTGAATCCTGAGAATTATTTCGATCATAAGGATATGTTTGTTCTTCCGCCCCCGCCAGCTCGTATCATTCGTAAACCGTCGCAAACGATGGTGAGTAGACGTAATTCTGTGTTGTTGGATCCGATTTTGGAGGAGGATGTTGGGGTGGCGGATTCTGGTGCCTTCCCAAAGGGCTTTGAGCAAAGACGACGACGTAATGAGAAGTAAATTCTTCATGATGTCGTGTCTTGTTTTATCTGTGAATTTTCTCTTATTATAATTTCTTCCCTAATCCCAAATCATTGTATATTTTTGTTTTGCATTTGTAAATAATATCATCATTTCAATCACCCTTAATAATTTATCACATTCCTCGCATAATTAATAATACGCATTAATTCTTTGTACGTATCTATTTTTTAATTGGCATTTTTCACATTGTAGTATTTAGCTAGGTTTTATTGTTGTTATTTTAATTTTTATGTATAATTTGGTTGAATCATTAAAGGTTATGGGACATTCAGGTCATCGATTAATTAATTCATTGGCGATTTTTTCTTTCGCGTGAATTAATAATAGTCGACTTTATTTTCTTTTCGCATTTTGTATTACATGTATATTATTGTTTATGACGATACATATGTAAAATAAAGCGCGCATACTGTGTGTCCTATGCGTCATGTGTCATAATCATCTGGTTATGTGAAAAGACATACATATTTGTATAATAAATACTAACGTATAACGACAAGACTGCGGTTTGCATATATGGATTGGTGTACTCTATGCTTATACGTACAACAAAATATGTCGGCATCCGCCATTATTCATACAAAGTCCCATCCCACTAGATGTTCCAAATATAGGCCATAATGTAAACGAGATTCTCCTACATGGTACCTGTAGATATTCCATCAAATAAACAACTTCCCAGATAAGCAAATATCGCGCACTCGCATCCCATTGTTGGGGGCGCATACCTGTCCGAATGTTATTCTGTACTGTTTGTTTAACCGAGTATCTCATGAAATATTTTTTTGTTGTTCGATTGAACAAGTAATCATCTACCCATTACCTGAATTAGAACCAGAAAATTCTAGGTACTTAATACGTATATTATGCCCACATGAGATGACGATTCCTAAAATCATTTAATAGAATGCAGCGTCGACTTTGACTTGTGAGCTGGTGTATGTCGATTTGGCCCTTTGAAATATGCGTACGTAGCATTCTCGTTAATATGACTATCCAAATATGATTCAATATTATGACATATCGATATTCGTTATCGCAACTAAAACCCGCTGTCCCGATGATGTCATATTAACGGAGTGAACTATAAATTAATTAAAATTGGGATAATGACGAGTCAATTTGTCATCTCCGCACTCTCTTCTCGGATAATCTATTCTTATAAAAAAGCTTGAGTATGTTTATTCTTTGAATTATCATTTTGTTGGGTGCATTCATAAACCCTATTTTAAATGGTTGTATTAGCGTTAGGGAGCTTACAATTTCACATGAAGGTGCACCCAGTATCTTAATATAAAACCTGAGATCGATACAGACCCAGGGAGAATATTACGTAATATCGATATATGTAACGTAAGAAGTTTTGTTGATCCCGGAAATTTTTACCGCTACTTTTAGTACCTGTTTCTCGCATTTCTTCTGATGTGCTAGCCAGAAAAAACTCACGCTCGCGTGACGTATCATAAACCTATAAGAACGACCTGCTACGTGGCGCAAACCAGTAAGAATGCGCAAACCCGGCAAACCAAGAAAAAAAGCGACAATGTGCAAAATACGGAAAACAGATGTAAAAATCTGATTTGAAGCATTAATAAGAAATGTCGGAAAGGCAATTTTACTTATAATTTTATCCTCAGCCAACTAACCCTAACACAAACGATAAAACAGCCTTTAACGTTAATTTTCCATATCACGTAAGTGTGAATTTTTGTTTACGCGGGTTGTCAATGGAGAACGGTGAACTAACAACAAATCAATGACAATTCATTGGGATGACAAAGCATATGAATGTTCTTGACTCACAAAAGAAGATTTAGAAGAGTTAAAAAGAAACGTCAAAGTAGAGATCCACATGGTCCACTTTGGCAAGTTGTGTCTCAATAAATGGCAATGTTGTCCTTGACCTATACTGCGGAACAGTGTTTAAGGAGAATATCAATATTAGATAAATCTAAAGAGTCTAACACTAACAAAGAACTCTGTCCCGACGATGACATATTAACGGGATTGAGCTGTATTAGAATTTTAGAAGATGTATGCGGAAATGCGTCAACCAGTATCTAAAAGTAACGCAAACAAGAAAAATCTGAAGAAAGACGTCAAGTACTTGCTCTTTTAGCTTGCATCACCTCAAACTTTCATTATGGTGCGCCCAGCTTAGCCATATCAAATACTTTGAATTGCAAAGGATTTTTTATATGAACTTTAAATGTAAAAAAATAATATGTCAATAAATAGTTTTTGATAAGTACTATCAAGTAACGTATTTTATTTTAAAGTTATATATATTTTATTTAAGATACAATTTTAAATAATGCATTTTTTAAAATTTCAGCATTAATATTAAAAAATTAATCACACTTATAATAAATCTGACCAATCATATTCAATTGTATAAGTAATGATCTGCAAAATTTTCAGCGCCTTGTCGGGTCTGACTCGAAAATCGTAAGATATTTTTCGTTAATAACTTTTATTTTTACTAAGACATTTTTATTTTGTATCTTAAGTAGAGTTGTTTGTATCCACAAAATTTCGTTTAATTTCAATTAATATTGAACGAGAAATAATGATTTTAGGCTGATCCGAAATATTTCGGATCGGGTTTGAGGTCAACCCGAACCGATTGGAGCTTTACTTTGATGTGACTAAGCTGGACGCATCATACAACAATTATATTAATCAGATCAAAAAATCTTAGTATATTTTGCATTTCTAACACTGGATATTTGTATTCTGCAATTTTACAACCATCAATTTCGTCCTGTCAGATAAAATCCCTTCCCTTCTAAAGATATCACCTAATCCTATTCTCGTTCCTCTTTTCAATTTTCTGTCAACAGTTAAAAATTCATCAAATAGTCAATAATAAAGTTGATTATTTGATTTAAACTTACCATTCAGTTTCCGAATTAAGATTCTCAAAAATGATTCGCTGATTTCGCCTTGCCCAAAGTAGTTGTACAATTTCGTCAAGTTCTTGAATAGCAATATTCCGGTGCTCGCCATATATAATGAGACAAATACGCCATTTTTTATTTTTGCATTATAAAAATTGCTTGAAAATATATAAAAATTTACAGATATATAATTAATATATTTAGTGCACCGACCGAGTCGGTCCGAACCGCACACTTCGGGTCAGCCTAAAAATCGTTATTTCTTGTTCAATATTAATTCAAATTAAACAAAAATTTGTGGATATATACACAATTATATTCCGAAAAACTCTAATTAAGACTCAAAATATAAGTATCTAAGTAAAAATAAAAGTTATTAACGAAAAAATATTTTACGATTTCGGATCAAACTCGACCCGACCCGAAATTATCGGTTCGGGTTGACCTCATAGGCAGACTTTCATATGATTGGCTGATATAAATTAATTATCCGAATAACTTATTTATATAATTTAAAGTACTTCTTGAGAACGTCACGTTTACTAGATGATTCATATTTACTTTATTTCTCTTATCTCTTTTGGCTTCTTTTTCATATAATGCATCCAGATTATCTCCACCTATTTTTTTTGTATAGTTATTTGCTGGAAGCTGACTTGCACTAATATTAACTAACATCGAGCTAATAAAAAATCACCGTAAAAACCATTTCTAGCTTTAAACGAACGTTGATATTCACTATGCAAAAGAATCTCCAAAGAATCCAGAACCTGACATACTTTACTTAGAAGGCAAAAAATAATTTTACTATTTATTACTATTACCAACTCTATATATGTATTATTATGCTGAAAACTGTCAACGAAAAAAGACAAGCAAGATGTATAATGTAAGTTTAATCTTAAAGAAAAGCTTTATATACATATATCATTTACTTTATAATCTTTAAATCTAAATAAAAGTTAAGCTCATTTGGTAATGTGTATAAATGTGAATAAATACAAGTGGTGTTGTTTAATTATAATATGGATCAATGGTTGTAATAGTTGTAATGTGTCTAGTAAAGATAGTGATGACTGAAAAATAGATTATTTATTAATAGAGTAATCGCTAATTTCTTTGATTGATTTGATTGGTCAATAATCATGCTTGGATCGACATAAATTAGCCAATCACATGAATGTCTTCCTAATGAGGGTTGACATCAAACCCGACCCGAACAGAGCTTTATATATATTGCAAACAAGTTTTCTTAAGACTACTTAATAACATATCTTATTTCTATTATTCTCGAATACTATAAATTTAATTAAAAAATTTTCTTTTTTGGCTTTTTTACTTTAAGCTACTAAATTGCCTTAAAAAAAACTTGTTCGTAATATATCAAAGTATATATATTTAAATTTTTATATGTTTCGATCAATTTTCGTGATGTAATAAAAAACTACCATTTAGATTAATTGACTTAGTTTCATTTATAGTGTACTATCAGGATTCGATCAGATAATTGAAGTAATTACAATAAGATATTCTATAAAGTGGTCTTAAATAAATTTGATCGCAATATATGAAACCTTATATCTGCAGTTTTTCATATATTTTTGATTTTTTTTATAGCACAATAAGGAAAAACAGCATTCTCATTATATATGACGAGCACTGTATATGTAAATCATAGGCACGGTGCTTGATAACAGAAATGAATCGGTTAATAAATTTAATATCATTTATTTCTTCACGAATTTTATATAGAATGCAGCATGCAATAATCAAATGAGATTAGACTTGGACGCCGAAACTATATTGGTCCGAGCCAAAGGTTTCAGGTTTCGGCATATGAAGTCCCAAATCTCTGCCGAAACCCGAAACACTTCGCGTGATTAATAAGTCTGGCTAATTTTCATCCTACGTAAGTACATGTACGTATATATTGAGATGTTTGTCACCATAAATCTAATAAACCATAATCAAAGGAAGGAAAAAGACTAAATGGTGATTCAACGAACAGGTAAAAAAGAACCGGAGCATTAGATCAATCATTCAGAGTAATTAGAGTAGTTTCATATAGACATTTATATTAAAGCCTAACAACTTCCCAAATTCCCAAATTATAAAACTATACATTGTAATTGATTTTTTTGTACGAAAATTCTAGCTACAATGCTCCGACTAATTCAGCTGTATCATAATTCTCCTCTTGTTCAAAATACATCAAGTCCAACCGACTCCACCAGAATGCATTCAACTTCTACCAATTCATTATTTGGAATAAACTCTGGAATTGACAGATCAACGGTTTCTTCCAATTATAAAATTTCTCTGATTTGATAAAACTTGATCAATATCAATTTCATCTTCATCAAAAAGGTCCGCTTCTCTTATAATTTTTTCAACTGGTTCATCCTAACTGAGTACATAAGCTTTGATTTGGTATTCGCAATATAATATGCATGCATCTTGGCAATTGCCTCTACGTTTTCGACTACGTAATAAGCATATACGTCATTTCCCATAAATCCAGCCACAGACTGACCAAACCCGTTCACAACTTGCTGCTTGAGGCGATATAGAGAATATGGAGGTTGGATATCGCATGTCTTTTAAGTTTGTTGGGATATCAATAGCAGAAAAATATAACGCATTGTATGGTACTTTTTGAGTTGATATTCACGTAATTGAGACATGAAAATTTCACCAGTTGTTCGTTTATTATGGTGATTCTTTTTTAATATTGCTGTAATTAACTTGACTTTTATAATTTTTGAAAAACTCGAGCAGCAACGATATGAATTCGAACAATTTGTGAATTAGGAATTCTTATGCCTAACCAATAAATCATTAATAATTTTATTAGATAAAACACGTAAATTTAGGTGCAAATAATATGCTAGCTAATGCTCGTCAAAATCAACTTCATTAAAGCACTCATTGAATACTTTGATACAATATTGACGAAAAATTATATGATCATCTTCGGGAATATTTTTAATAGCTACTCTAAGTCACGCAAGGTAAAAAAAAACAACCAGCGAGAGTTGCTCCTTGATTTTCCAAACATACAATTGCTTTTTTTGATACTTGCTATTGCTAGATCTTGAAAATCATAAAAAATGTCTCACTTTCGCAAAATAATACTTAAACCACTTCATTGATAATAACCGTAGGATTCTCAGCTATAATCTTATAGTAATATTAAATATCAAACTTTAATATATAATATAAAATATATTTATTGAATATTTACCGCTTTTAAACAAGGTTCCAAATGATAAATTGAAGAAAGCATATTATATGCTGTAGTCCAACGGGTTTCAAGATATGTTTTGAGTTCTTCTTTAATATTACTTTTAATCTTCTCTTCCAAAATACTCTTCCAAAATACTCTTCCAAAATACTCTTCCAAAATACTCTTCCAAAATACCTCTTCAGAAAAGGGCTTTTTTTGAAATAAAGAGTAATGATACTGACCAGTTCAAGATCCGTGTGGCAAATGTATGTTTTACAATATCTTTTGTAATTAAGTTCAAACAATGTGCCATACATCGGATGCTGAAAATGTGTGAAAATTTACAAAGATGATCTGTCGTGCCAAATTGATATCGATATTTGCACCAGCATCCGTTACTATTGCTGCAAAGCATTCAATGCCAATATCATTGAGAACCATTTCAATTTGTTGTGCAAGAAATATGACTGCATGACTTTTGATTTGAATAATCTTGAATTTTCCACAAAATATCTTTTCCATTAGAAGTATAAATGACAAAGTTCCAAAGTGAAGTTCTCGCCGGGCTTTACCAGCAATCCAATGCTAAAATAAATAAACCTTTTAGTATTTAAATTAATTTATTTATTATCTTCCGTTTATAAAGTTTTGGAAGGGAGAACCTAGTTTCACCCGAAACACTAGAACAATGGGCACTTCTTTTTCTGAATTTTCATATGTGACGCTCTGTTTCTACATCAAAATTTGATAAATGACAGTCAGTACCAATAACTTCGATATCTTCATCGCTAGAAGCAGTGTTCAAAAATTAATCTGCGCGCCTGCATGATACAATATCAATACTTTCCGTTATGATTTTAATATTAAAGGATGAATTTTTTATCTGCACAACTACATACGTAATCTCCAATCTGCGGTGCGCAGATTGTGCAGGCCAATTTTAGAGGACATAGACGATGATTCTTCAAGAGTACAGTTACAATTGTTTCAAGTACATCTGTTTCGCTCATTGCGAAGAAAGTGAATGAAAAAAATCTTATATTATACTTCAATCCAATTAGACAACCTTTGAATTTTAATGTTTATTTTAACTTTTTTTGATATTTGGAAAATCCATACAGCTACAAAAACGTTAACACTAAATAACGAAATCTTCCAACCGGAAATCTACTAGAAATCCAGATTCCTAGTTTATGAACAACAGTTATATCCCACTCAAGTTTTTTTGCCAGGAAAACCAACCACAATTCATTTTCCAATAAAAGTTCACCTGAGGATAGATAATATAGCTTTATAATACTTTTTTTAATGCGAGTATTGACAGAACAGCATTATTTTCAACTTTGAGAGACTGCCAGAAAGAAAAGTGGGGTTGAAATTTATTTTTGAATTGAAATTTCTCGATAATGAAAAAAGGCTTTCTTTAAATTTATGTATAAAATCTGATCCAATATACAGTCAAAGTCCTTTACAACAGCCGCATTGGATTGGCACTTTTTTGAGCCGGTATATAGTGCTTGTATTATAAACTTCGGTAGATAGGGAGTTTTTAAATAGTTAAAATCGTCAAAATCGGGATATCAATACGGTATAAGCCGAATCCGATGTATACAGCGCCGTTGTAAAGGACTTTGACTGTATTAAAAAAATAAAAGTGCTTTAACGATAAACTAAAGCTAAATTAAAAAATCGAATATGTTCAAACCATTATTATGATTGAAAAATTGCAACCCGGCTTCTCAAATAACTCCATAAACATCCATTATTTAGAGCACGTTGATATAATCGAAAAGACTGATGTAAATCTCTTTTTACACCCACTCCATTAGCCGCATACGAAGCCAAATAGAAGAAACAATCATTCTTTAAATCAAGAACATGAGTATCGGCAGCCTTCCACATCCAATAATTCGCTTTTCGATAATCCCTCTTAATCCCTTCACCATTTGTATATATTCTCGAAAGCTCAACTTGTGCAAGTGCGTCACCTTGATTTGCTGCAATCTGGAACCATTTGAATCCCATCTCGAGATTTTTCTCGGTGCCGATCCCGTTACTGTAAAATAATCCCAAGTTAAATTGCGAACATAGATGACTATTTTCTGAGGCTTTTTGGTACCATTCAAATGCTTTAATATAATCAGTCTCTACACCGAGTCCTTGGTAGAAGCACCAAGCTACTCGTGCCTGTCCATAATTTATCCCTCTTTCAGCTACTTTATGATAGTATTTAAAAGCGGTAACTGGGTTTGCATCTGTTCCCAATCCGTAATTGATAAGATATCCAAGTAGATATACGAATTCTGGATTATTTGCGTGATGACGTTCGACGAGTTTAAATATTGTTTCTATGTCTCTATTGGTATGGTTTTTTATCCATTTTTTTAAGCCGTCGACTACGTATTGATCGGGTTGTCCGGAACTTTTTAAGTCTAATAAGTTGTTTAGTAGTTCTTTTACAATATCAATATCAATGTTGATGTTTGTGTTTTTATTAACACTGTCAACGAATATTGTGTCTTTGGAAATCAATTTTTTTGATTTATTATCCATTTTATAATTTCATAAATTACAAAATCAGTTATTTTATACATGTAATAGCGAAGCCACGATAAATGTTGCTATTTGTTACACACACATTTGCATACGCACCGTATGCGTAGTCATACCCTCTGTACAATCCCATCCTGCGATAGACACTTTTTTGGGTGTGATTTAAAATGAGTCAAGAAAATATAGATTCGACTATTCAGAAAAAGAGATGTAATTTCAATAGTCATTGTACAAATTTATTTTAGATCAATTGAGAATAAAAAATGATTAGAATGACATGAGATATTTTTCAAAGCATGAAAGAATGTAGATAAATGGTAACCTTGGCAGGAGTATTATTAAATACAAACAAATAATGTGCACACACACATAAAATAGAATGACCGATAACACAGACTCATTAATTTTTAATTTTAATTCTGTCTTTTATAAAGCTTCCAATAAATCAGACGTATGTATGATTAGCATATAGAAAAAAAGAGGCATTTATCATTAGATTTCTATGCATGAAAAGTGAGACAGAACACCTTTTATCGTTATGACTTCACTTTGAAATGATTTAGTAATTTGATGCATGAAAAATAACGACATACGTAGAGTATTTAAGAGAGTTTCCGTAATAATTACATGTATTAACTACATGTATTAACTAAATGACATGCATAAAATGAATGCATTTGATTTTTACAACGATGACGTGACGACGTATGACGAACAATCAAGTGTTCAATAAGCAATATGTAATTGAATAACGATAAATGAAGTAACTTTTATATGGATAAATAAATAAAATATAAAGATAAAAATTATATCGATATGCGTAAACTCAAAGAAGTTAGAAACTGCTTTGGTCGTTATGCTTTAATTCGAAACACAGTTAATATCCATTCCATGGCATGGTTACCGTCAGGATTACTAATGTTTTGAACTTCAAAGATAAAGTATAAAGTAAAGTACGAAGTTACCATTTCTTTTTTTGATATTGTCCTATTTGGTTGGAAGTGTTTCAACTTGAATCTGTAGTTTTTCTTGCAAGACACTCGATATCTCTTCATTCTCTTTGATTTCATGTGGTATACTAAAATCGAAATCTGTTTTACAACACCAAAGAAAAAAGTTACTGAATTAATTAAGTCAATAAAAAAAATATTAAATATAATTTTACCTTCGTTTGGAACAAACAAACTGACACTTGTCAACCCTAAACATTCGATATGAATTTAATCAACATTAAAAGTTAATATGAATTATATTCAAAAATAAAAATACCCGTGTTAGTTGGAATATATATTGATTTTGAAGTAAACATTCGACTGGTGTTCATATTTGTAGGAATGCTCTTTTATAATTTCAACTCCTTATCAAGTTTATCTAACGCTAATTTCTGCTTTTCTAGTTTGTGACACTCTTTAATTTCTTCATTTGTCTTTGGATATTCTAAAGGGCTGTATTACTGAAAATGCAAAGTACATGTATTCAACTCTGTCACATATTCACGTTTAATAGAGATAGAGATCGATTTGATAGTTTTCAAGTTCCTCAGCAGATAGTCTGTTTTCTGGAATAGGATCCCAACATTTTTCAATAATAATTTGAATAATTATTTGGTATCGTAGGTCGTCGGTCTAAAACGAGATCTATATCATGACTTCGCTCGCCAAATGGTCGTTCATCTGTGACAACTTCGTATATAACCATCCCAAAACTATACATATTTCGGTGGCATTTTATTTTTGAATATAGGCAAAGCTTCAACAACAAATGTTTGCCATTCTCTCAATCCAAAAAATCTTCTAAAGCAGCTGGAACAGATTGTTACAATGGCATAGCTTCTTCGAGCGAGTGTGATATTCAAAATATCGGATATTCGAACATTCGGAAAACGACGAATCCGTAATTACATGTACATGTATTTGATATCAGTCTTTTAACCGTTGAGAAATGATTAAAATTTATTTGAATATACACTCACGACAAATAAAAAGTGTCGACATACCCAGAGGTTGGTTTGACCAGCAACTTATATTATCAAAAAATGTCGTTATAGCATATCTAGCTACATGTACTTAAATTTATACATGTACATTTATCGTTATCGACTCAATTTAAATTTCATGATAGGTTCTATGAACACCGATACCAACACTAATCACATTATCTGTAACAGAGTACGTAACTACATGTGCATATACCGATACCGATACGTACAAGTGGTTTTTTTATACATGTACATATACATACAATATACCGATACGTACATTATCTGGTTACAGAAACAAAATTTGCTTAGATAAATGAGTTGTTTCAATAACACCTCAATAAATTGAATATTTTAAAATTTCTACCACATCAGTTTAACGGGGGTTGACTGCTAATTTCGTCTTAATTATGTATTTGTGATTAAACATGTCCAAAATTATCAAGTTAGAGATCAAAGAAATCGAAAAAATAGATGTGCTTACAACGTCTTCGTCTCCATCTATTCCATCAACAAATAGCATCAATGATCAAATGGGACGGACTTTAACATTGTCATCTTCATCCATTCCAGATGCATTAAATATAAATAAAAAAAGAACGATCAAAGATGAACAAAAAGCATTTGAGTGGTATTTAAAATCGGCAGAGTCTGGAGATTCTGACGCACAATATAACCTTGCTTTCTGCTATAAAAATGGAGAAGGAACAATCAAAGATGAACAAAAAGCATTTGAGTGGTATTTAAAATCGGC